ATTTGTGGGGGGGGAGGGGGGCGTGCTTGTGTGTGTACATGTATATATATTATAACTATGGCAAGTTATATCTGTATCCATCGACATGACATCTGCGTTTGCAATTGAGCTGAATCATAGGCCTAGATGAATTAACATTCATGTGATACTTTTGTTTTTCTTGGATAATGCCCGTCAAATTTTTGCGTCGTTATATAGGATACATACAAGTCGAAATATTTGTTTACTCAGCCCCGTACTTGGGTGGTTTGTATCATAACACTTATTTGTATGCTTATATGTGTCCTATCGATTTACAGTATCTGTAGTAAAATGTGCATCTCGACCGAAGTAGTCACACACCTGCATGCTATACGAATCAACCGTCTATTCACATACAGATGCGTACATACTTATGGCAAAGATTGGTACTACTGCAATTTCATCAAGATCAGTACTTTTGAATTTCTTTCTAACTTATTGGTGTCACTTATTAGTGTACAGACGCGTACGCGTCTCGGGATTATAGGCTGAAGGGTGCCCTTTAAGTTTCCATGGACTGTCACAGGTTTGTCGTCCTCACTCCAGCAATTGAATCATCGAGCATACTTTTCCGCCGAGCCATGGACAATCCCATTTTCTCCGCTATATTCCGCTCTATGATTGACCGCACGACTCGAGGATCTCTCTCAAATTTGGACAGCACACCAGACTCGCCCAATAGCTGTCTAATATATGCTCGAGCTTCTAGCACTAGATGGTATAGTGTATTCCAATCAGCGCAGCTAGAATTTGCGCTAATCTTTATATTCCGAAGACCAGCTATCAAATCGCTTGGCAGGTTCACAGGCGTGGGAGCGCCTACGTAAATATACGTGTTGAGCAACGCCAATATTTCACATAATTTCGTCACTGCGACGTGTTTATCACTGAAATCGCCCAGAAGATTGATATCGCGGATGAATTTGCAATTTTCGGAACAATATCTTCTCTCGGATATATCTAGCAGGTACGAATACAACTGTCCATCCGTCAATATGATGTCGAGCTCCCCTCTTGGGTCCAAGAGATTGTACGCCTGGCTAACCGTTTCCACATTGTCCATTCCATGCCAATTGAAGTAGATGAATATGTCTTTCACGACGACAAAGCCGAAGAATTCTACCCACATGAGTATTGGGATCCAGTATGAGACTACAATTTCAAACCATACTCCTCCGAAGCCCACCTCGTCTAGTTCTGGCAACAGAATAGCACAGACATATAGTATAGCTAATGAACACCAAACGCGCACGGCAGGCTGGTAGTCGACGAATTGTTGTGCAGCTCCACGCAGCTTCCACGTGTAGAACGCAAATTCAAGGAGTAGAAGTAATTGAAGTGCTCTGATACCCTTAATGGCGACCTTGTGTTCCGCGCACCAGAGTACTGTTTCATTTAGAACTATAGGTATCACTGTGAGGACTACGATAAGTAGTGCCATCCGAACCAGCATCAGGGGATATCTAGGCTCATATATACCCCTGCAATACACGAGGTACATAACCCTGAAGCGCAATATGAGCGCTGTGTACAGCACATTCGAGCAAATTACTTTAAAAGTTGAAACCAAGGCATTTAGGGCATTCGGAGGGTGACCAAGTGAGGAGAAGACGCGATGGGCGAACAGAAAGTTCGAAAGCGGATAAAGGATTAGACTCCACGAAAGGTGTACCAAAAACCACGGCAGCCTGCATCGGTACTCTGGGCGCTTCAAGTTGTACCAGTTTATGGCTACAAAGGACAATATCAATATCTGAGTGATGCCAAATAAAATGAAGTTCGTTTTCCTATACTTATCCATGCTCATACCGTACCGCGAGGTAATGACCGTCGACGACCAGATGAGCGAAGCCAATGAAGGAACATATACAAATAGTAACCATGTGAGATTGGTCATCAAAGATCTCCGATCTCGAAATACTAGTCGGTCTTTGCTCTTCTCGGAGTGTGATGTCGCCTGTGCAATGCCCCCACCTATCGACTCAGTTGTGGACAATTTACTGTCGAATTCTATTGAAGGTATCACACTTGTGTGTTCTTCGTCCAAACCGGCCTTTAACTTCGCACGTACATTCTCACAATCCTGCGAAGATGTTACCGGGGAATCTCTTACACTTTCCTCGACGGAGGAGTTACTGCCGTTTTTACTCATCATCTCCCAGCCTTAAAGACGTCACAAGACTGTCCAATCGAATGGCGTCCACTATGGATTCTGCACTCAGCACACTTAAGGTTGAGTTGAACCTTAAATATATGCATGCACTATACTTTAAAAGTGAATTCCTGGCTTCACAGATGTTTCTATGAATATGGAGGCAGAGGCGGGGAGAAAGTAGAAACCGAGAAAGGGGAGTGAGCGAGAGGGTCACAACGACGAGTATAAATTATGAGTTATCATGAGAACTCAGGCCGAGTCTAACCGGTTATAGCGAATTTTCGCTATAGTAACAATAATAGGGCAAATTAAGGCTGGAAATTTTCGAAATGACGAAGGTGTCCTTTCGAGATTTCAGACTCAATTGCACCGAAGTAGTTAACGTATAACTCGACATTTCCCGCCAAAGTACCGACTATTTATAAACCTACTCTAAGTGCGTAGCTTTCAATAATTTAAATGTATGTTATAATATATCATAGAAAGTGTCTAATAAATATATACTACTTCTAATATATACAACCTCTGTTCTTTTGTGATACAATATGGACGAGAAACTTCGCTTCTTCTACACACGCCGAGCAGCATTGAGACAGCGATTGGCTAATGCCATCAATGAGGATACATCCAGTGCTAGTGATGTGCTTAGCAATATTTTGCGTACAATGGAGGAGAGTAGCATTAACACAAGTAGTATTGATAAGGAGGAGGATAGTGACGAAGACTCCAAAATGAGGATAATATTACAACCACTCTGATAATAACTACAATATTAACGGTATTAACAAACATCATTCCTGTTCTAGAACAATCAAATACCATGCCTAGAGGATCACTTGTGTATCGTTTTCGGCCATCGTTCGATGAGATCGCTGGACACATGCTACAAATGAACTCCTTCTATGTTGACATGCGCATGAGCTTACCTCAGTTTTTAGTTTTAAAACAAGCTATCATACCTATGTGTGAACGCGATGAAGTCATGGGAAGCCTGAGGAACGGAAGCATCGATGTTGGGGTTCAATTGGCCAGACCTTTACGTATGTTAACGGGGGGCCAAGTGGCAGATCTCAAGTGCACACATGTAATGCATAAAAGTACTGTATATGCAACATTTAAACGAGTAGTGCGTGCAATCAACTGGCCCTTGGAGTAAATTCCTAAGCAACCTGTGATCATCGCTATCGATTCACAGCATTTTCTTGTTCATCTTTTGGCTCCGCACATGACAAGCGTGCCTTAGAGGCCTGTGGCTTTTTAGATCTGATTCGGACGCTGCCTCGACCGTATTATGTAGTAGGTAATAATGCGTACACGGGTGATGAATTCATGCTTATTCCTTATCCGGGGAGAAACCTGGGCGAATACTGGGATGCCTTCAATTTCTTTCAATCCCAAAGCAAACGTTTGGGATATTTCTAAGAAAGTGAAGTATCCTATGGAAGGGTTTTAGGGTTTCTCATTCAAGCAGCAGCCATCATCACGGGCACTAAATACCCTCGGTTTCTCAAACATCAAACAAACTTACTTCACTTCTGCGGCCTGCTCCCCGCGCGACCATTAGTGGACTACCTCGGAGGTTACCTGGGAATACAACTCGACTCAATGGCAAGCAAAAATCGACTTACCCCTCTGACGCAACCCGCCTGGGCCCACGATAAACCATCACTGCGCTTCCCGTACAGTATCTATGCTCACCTGAAAACTGTACACAAACCCACGGGCGGGCGTACACCCGACCATGTAGCCCTCCGCCAACGCTGTGACGACATCAGGAAGAACTCAACAAACCGTTGGTCCAACAAATAGATCGCGGCAATGGCCCGGCGCCAATACTACTACCAACTGGTTATGGGTAAA